CAGGACCAGAGGGTACACCTATTAAATAGGCCAGGGGTGCATCGAGCAGCCCATCCATCCCCAAACAAGAAATCCAATCTTGTTCAGAGATACCTTAAGTAAATGGCTGGCACCCCCGGTTCATCCTAACGCCCTCATGGCCAACTCGCAGGCGACTGGTCCAACTGCTCAGTCTCCCGCCTTCAGTTATGCGACCTCCAGCGACAAGGGTATCTCCCAGCTGCAGATTTTGTACCTGTCTGTGACGGCCAAGGCACAAAAAGGATCTGATGTCCGGATACAGTGTTGCCACGTAGTCCGGCCCACGAGAGATAGGCCGGCAACCCAAGGACCCCCTAGTCCGAGACTCCCTCAATCGACGGCAGCAACGATGCACGTGCCATCGTGCTCCCCTCGTGCATCGTGGAGCAACTCGCCACTCCTCGAGCTGGCCTGGAGTGACGAGTTGCTAAACCACGTGCCGGCTTAGGGCGACCACTTGCTCCATCGAGCTAGGCGAGGGAGGCGGAGCAGCGAGCTTCCTCGCTCGTATCCGGCCGGCTTTTATGCCGGAGAACTACTCTTCCTGCTCGTCAGATGCCATCGAAAGAGTGTAGAAAATGGTGGAAGGAGGAGATGGGGAGCGGCGAACTTGATGCTAGGATTCTTGCCCGGCATTTGACCTTGTTTAAATAGAGGGCGGACAGGAGGAGATTGCCCAGCGTTGTGTTTAATGCCGGCCTGCTCATGAACGGGCGTGTGGCCAGAGTAGGTTCCTCAACTTCCACGCGGGTTCAATGGAGGAGTTTGAATGCAGCGAGGAGGCGTGTTCGGCTGGCGCACCGCTTCCATGGCGAACGCAGTGAGATGTTGCATCCATCCTGAGCCGCCTTCAATGTGCAGTGATGTGCTCTACAACGACATGAATGTGGGAAGCTAGCACTAGGCATGACGTGCACATACGAGGAAGGAGGGGTTTGGGTGGGCCAGGGCAACCAGAAGCGGGCGTGGCAGTGGTCTGGACTCGCACAAACCTCACCCACGTTTGTCTCCGGTGTGCGGGAGAAAATGCGTCGGGACCATGCCGCGAACCGATACAGGACCGCGTTGGATTGTTTCCGTCGTCCGGACAGTTGTGGAGGGTTTGAGGGTCGACGTTGGAGATGCCCTGAAGGGGCAATGTTGTGGGTCCCCTCTCCATGTCAGCGTTCTAGATTAAAACCCTAGTTCGGCGTCTTGGGCTTGGTGGCGGTGGCGGTGGCGGGTTGCGTCATCACCCTCTTCGAGATGGCGTCATGGAGCTCAGGTACCTAACGGTCACACCATGTTGGTCTCCAGGCATGTTTTTGATCCTGGCGTGATGTATGGTTGTGATACTCTCTAGTTTTTTACTAGGCATGTTTCTAGGACCAAAAAATGCGGAAAATAAGAACGGGCACTGAGCATTAAATGAATAGGTTAACCCAGATTAAATAATATAAAATAATGTAAAAAGCATAAAAAATAATAGTATAATAACATGGAACAATCAAAAAATATAGATACATTTGAGACGTATTAGCTACCCATATAAGATGTTGGTGTGACGGGCTCTGACCCAAGAGGGGGCGGATGAAAACGCGGGTTCAACTGGTTAGAAAAATAAGTTGCACTAAGTGTTGAATTGCCTAGCCTTTTATAGTAGGCTAAAAGTCCTAGTTATACTGGCCCTCCAAAGAAGACCACTTTGTTGCTTTTTTTTCTCCGGTTGGAGTCGCCTGGAGACTCCGACCAACTAAAAACTCCAAATTTGACTGCACTGACCTTGTTGAGATTTGAATTTATATCATTTTGATCATCACTCAATCTTCTTCATGCTTTAACACAATCACTTGAGAGAGACAATTCACTTGAATGTTTGCACCAAGACTTGATCAGACATGGCTCAACTATGAGCACACTATGACCTAATATTGGTGCCATGTCTTGAATTCTTCTCTTTAATACATTCTCTAATGACCTTGAATCATATCTTGTTGTTGACGACATTCACTCCAAGTCCATCCAATCTCCTTCCTGCATCACACATGGAACATATCTTCATATAGCTTGATACAATTGTTGCTCCATACGAACTGTCATTCATCATTAAATCTCAATGCATATATTTAGCTTGATGGCTTCAACCTTGAATTCATCAAATATTCTCCCTGCAATGCCAATGGAACATCCCTTCAAATATATCTCAATGAAATCATTAGTCCATAATGATTGTCATTAATTATCAAAACAACACACGAAGGCATCAACCGCTTTCAACTATCCACCACACCTGATAGCTCACGAGCTACAAAAAAGTTCTTTGAAAACAACGCCTTCGGTATAAGGGTACAATGCCCAAGCGCCATCGTCGTCGGATCCAACCGCTGAAGGTCAAATCATTTACAGGTGGTCCTTATCACCTAAACATGTCTCACCCTTGCTTGAACGCCATTTGAGTGGGTGGACCACATGGCCAGCCACCCGTTCAACCATCATCAATATAAAAATCTTAATGCTGGCATATACTGTAAGAGAGAAAGCCTGGGATGCGTTTTGTGCCCCGAAGTGGACCGACGGTCATGGAATAATGGCTTTGCTTTGGACGAGAGGTCCTATTATGGGAAGACAGATGGATCGAGGGGCACCGGATCCAGGAGCTCGTGCCGCTATTGTATATTAGAGTCCACCCGCGCATCAAGTTATATTAGAGTCCACCCGCGCATCAAGTGCAGGCGTACGATGTTTGAGACTGCTGTGGAAAACGCATGGGCTAGGGATATTGGGCCTAACATCAACAGCCATGCCCTCCAACAATTTCTATAGCTGTGTCCAAGGATTGCAAATATACAACTTTCTAAAGGAGTGTTGGACTCCATCAAATGGGCTTGGGAACCGAACGTTATGTATTCCGCCCGCACTGCCTACGCTGTTAAGTTCGTCGGCCAAACTATGGCTCCCTATGGTGATTTTATGTGAAGGAACAAGGCACCCTTGCGCAGTGCCGCTTTTTTGAGTGGCTGGCAGTGAAAAAACGATGTTGGACCTCAGATAGACTTTTAAGGAGAGGCCTACCGCATCACCCTCCAAGCCCATTTTGTGATCAACTTGAAGAGACGACCAACCACTTTGCTTAGCTTTAGTTTTGAAAGGACAGTCTGGTTCAGGATTTGGAGTGCTCTTGGTGATCCGAGCCAGCTGCCAGCACAAGACGATACCATTGTGCAATGGTGCAATGCAAAGTGTTTGATACGCTGCTCCGCGAATGGACAATCATGGTGCTTGTCATGTGGGAGCTTTGGAAGCACATGAACGTCGTGGTCTTCGATGGAGCCACGCCGTCAATTCAAAGAGTCATGCGGAAAGTGGATAGCGAGGGATGTGCCTGGAGGCAGGCCGGTTTACTAAAAGGGAACCTAGATTTTCTTTTCCTTTGGGGCTCTTGCTAGGTGGGTCTCGGATGTGTAGTTCAATACACTGAGTGTAGCGGCGTGGTGAACGTTGTGTTCATTGTAACACCCTTGTATTTTTCATATGGATGGGTCTATTGTACCCTTTCCCCCCTTTAGTATACGATACGCACACTCGTGCATATTCTAAAAATTGATCAGACTTGCGTCCTTAGTCTAGAAAATAGAAGTATTACTAATTTTCGTTGATGGTTCCTCCTAGCGTCATGCGTTCTGGTTGAGGCCGGCAGGGTCATCCTCCTGGAATACAGGCAGCCTTTATCAATCGCGTGCGCAACGGCCATGGCCGTGTTCCTGCTGCAGATCGCTCTCCGGCCTCATGGCGCCTTCCGCCGGTCTAATCTTCTGCAAGTAAGAAGTGTCGTCTCTGATCGACCGTGTGTCAGCCATGAAGGACGACCTGTCGCTCGACGCGATTGGCATGGTGGACGCCGCACTTACGGGACATCAGGACTTGGGAGCGTCACGAACGGTGTGTGTCTACCCGAAGCGCGAAAGACAGACCGGGTGATGAAGCAGCAGCTGGGAAGGCCTATATTTATAGGAGACCCGTTAGAATGGAAAACCAAATCGAACACATCAGCCTGGACGCGAAACGACCAGAACAGCCGTTCTAAGCGGCAACCGCCTATATACATCCAACGCCAACGGAGCACGTGTAATGAATCGAAGCCAAACTGTAATCAGCTGCTGTCGTGGCAGCCTTCCAGTATAACAGCGGAACAAACAGGAAAAAGGAGCCGATCTGCCGACTCAAACGCGCGGCACGCAGGCACACGCATGCATGCAGGAGAAAGAAAATGAGGAGGAAAAAATAAACAAATCTGCACTCGACGGTCGAGCATACACGGCCAACTGAATGAGGACAAAAGACTGGTATACACACATGCAGCCCAATAGGAACTGAAAGATCGGGCAGGCATGCACATCAAATTGAAAACCTGCTAGAGACACCCAATAACGTACCTGCTCATATCTCCCGGTAACTAACGTGTCACTACCCCATTGGCCGAGTTTTCACTGCAAGAAAAAGTCGAAAAAACAAGAAAAAAAACTTGGTCAGGTTTAGTATATTTAGAATTCTAAAGTTTAAATGGGTGATGTCAAGATTTTCTTTACACAGTTGGTTTTTTTTTTGAAATTTGCTTCCCCACTTTATTAAACTAATCCAGGAAGTTTATCTGAGACTATGCTAAGAATACAGTCTGGAGGAGAAATCTCCCACGAAACAGAAATACTATTACAAAAACCGAATCGGGCAATCTCATGCTCCGCTTTATTTGCCTCCCTCTTCACCCACATAGCTTTAAACTCCCCCAAACTTTTGGCCATCCCCTTGATTTCTTCCACAATGATTCCTACCGACGACAGGTTGTGCTTTTGCTCATTCAACATTTTAGCCACGTTCTGGCAGACGGTCTCCAGATGGAGCTTAGGCACAGCCCGTTGCAAAGCTAAAACCATTGCTCGCTTGCACGCTTGCAACTCAGCAGCTTCGGCTGATGTAACCCCAGGAAGAGAAACCGCATCGGCGCCTCGGAAAGCTCCAGCCTCATCTCTGAACACCACAGCACACCCTCCTCCCTGACCTGACCGAGCCATTGCACCATCCACATTGGCCTTTAACCAGCCTGCCGCCGGTGGTTCCCAGGTTGCCCGCTGCGTAGATGGGCTCGGTCGTTGTGGCCTCCCCTTCGCGTTCTTCCACTCCTCCATGAGTGCAGCAACTCTCCTAGCCACCAAGTTGGCCTCCTCAATTCGCTTCCCTTCCCTCGTTTCATTCCTAGCCAACCATATGGCATATAGTCCCTGCACCATTGCTGCCCTATCATCCTCCGAGGCGTCTGATAGCCAGTTAAGCAGCCATGATGCAACTAAGCTCTGGGTGCTCATCGAACGAGGTGGGATCGCCACCCTCACACCCAATACCGAGCTCAGTTCCTTCCAAAACAGCATGGAATGATGGCATTCCCAAAGTCTGTGATACACCGTTTCTTCACGTCCACAAGCAGGGCAAAAAACACCAGGCTTGATCTTTCTTCGCAGCAGCTCAGAGCCCACCGCCAAGCCGTTCTTGATCAGCCGCCACACATGAATTAACGCCTTCCCCGGTGCGTTTGTACCCCATAACGCAGCCAGCTCCGGTGGTTCACAGTATTAGATGACGAACTTGGCTGTCCAGTAATCGCCCTCTTCTTCTCCATGCATAAGTGATAAGCTGACTTAACTGAAAAAATGCCGTTCTTCGTAAAATTCCAAGCTAGTATGTCATCAGTACCTATTCCTCCCACGCTGATCTGCATAATATCATGAACATCTCCCTCTGAAAACATAGCGTCGAGCTTGTGTCGATCCCATCCTGAGGCATCATCATTTAGCAAGTCACCGACCCTCGTCATCCCGGGTACATACACCTGGCCCAGTGGCCTTAGGCTGCCCCTCCGAGGTATCCAATTATCATGATGAATCCGGATTGAGGACCCATCCCCCACCCGCCAAATCAGACCATCCAAAAGCAAATTTCTGCCATGCAGGATGCTCTTGAAAGTATATGACGCACCAACGGGGCATGTAGCATTAAAGATGGAGCCATGGTCATAGTAACGCGCTTTGAGGACTCGAGCACAAAGTGAACCTGGGGCCTGAAGTAGTCTCCAAGCCAGTTGGTTGAACAGTCGTAACAAGTCCACCTTAATCACATACTCCCTCCGTTTCTAAATACTTGTCTTTCTAGGCATTTCAACAAGTGACTACATACGGAGCAAAATGAGTGAATCTACACTCTAAAATATGTCTACATACATCCGTATGTAGTAGTCATTTGAAATGTCTAGAAAGACAAGTATTTAGGAACGGAGGGAGTATATGAGAAACTCTGATAAAATGGTACGAATTTTGACACGTATACACGGCCGCACCGTAAAACATATACTCCTACTGCAATTACTACTTCAAAATACATGACATATACATGTTCACAAGACGAGGCGAGATGTCCATGTAGCTATCATAAACTTTCTATAGCTAGCTAGCCTCTGCTGTGGGCTGGGAGCGGTATGTCTGCCAGGTCCTCACGGTAGGGCACGGGCTCGTCGTCGTCCTCCCCGCTGCCGCCCGCCGCCTTCTCGGCGTCGGCCTTGCACGAGTCGGCGACGAAGGTGACGACGGTGTCCTTCCTGAAGGTGAGGTAGACGACGGCGACGAGGTAGACGAGCATCAGCGGGCAGACGACAATTCCGACGAGCACCTTGGCGTAGGTGGGCAGCGAACTGTTGATGAGCCACCCCATGAAGCTGGTGCTGAGGAAATAGACGTTGATGCCGATGAGCATCAGCCCAAGAGTCCACGAGAACACAATGACCTGCACGCACGTAGGAGCATTTAATTTGCGATAAACAGAGCAGCAGAGTGGCGGCGCGGGGCTAGACCGAATCAGCTGGAGGGAAG